TCTGCCTGCATCTGAGCTGGCCCCGTGGGATGGAAACTTCGTGAACACGCACATTCTCACAGGCATGCACACACATGAGCACACACTTGGAGCAGTGACACAAGGAAAGGGCCCCTCCAAGGCCAGGCTCTCCTGAGAAGTTGGCAGGAATTGCTAAGACACTCAAAAATAATAAAACCTGTCTTCCGTGAACAACTGTTCCACATGCGCTGGCTCTTCTGAAGCATTTGCAAGGTGAGCTGACTTCCCCTAGAGGGCAACAGAGGGCTAAGGTGGCCCCAGGAGAGGTCGGGACAGGTGATGGATGACAGCGTCACCACCAGCCCCTGCCCCTTAGAAATGACACCTGGCGTGGCAGGGGCCATGATCAGTGCCTGTCTTAGAAGGATACCATGTCCCCTTGATCACACCTCCACCTGACACAAGAGGAAACTGAGGTCCAGGCTGGTAAAGCTCCCTGTCCAAAGTCACACAGCAAATTAAGATTCTACATTTCCAGACTCTGGCCCTCCCCCACCCCAGTGTCTTCCTGCCTTGCTTGGTGCCCACCCCAACTCCACCCAGGCCGGGCCCTCACTCCCTGGTAAGCACAGGCAGGGCCAGCACACCCCAAGTCACCCCAGGCTACTACCCGTAGACCCCCACTCCACCCCCAGCCCCCATCCACTGGCCACAGCTCAGGGTTAGTGGAGCCCCAAACCCATGTTCCCCAATAGCACAAGGTCAAGCCTCTCCTAAGCCGACCCTGGAGGAGGAAGGGGTCTGGGGCCTGCTGGCAGCCTGGGCCTCCCCTTTGCCCAGCAGGGGCAGCAAGCCCGAGGTTCTAATTAGCAGCTTCTGGAACATCCCAGTGCCCTGGATATGAAGGATATGTGTTTCCTAATTGGCCCCCTGCCGGGGTGTCAGTCAGAAAGCAGGGATTACGCAGCCTCTGGGCTGAGCCCCTCCCGCCCGCCCACCCCGCCGGCCTCACCTACTCTCTGACCCCTGGGCCTGCTTCCTCTGTGTCCTCCTGCTGCTGCTCACCTGGGCTGGCCCAGGTCTGCCCTGGCGGGCTGAGGGTCACCCCCCAATACACCCACACCCACTTTATCCAGGGGCCAGGATCCCAACAAAGCATGCATGGAAGATCCTCCGCAGGGCCCAGCACAGCCGGACCCAGAGACCTCGCCCCCAGCCTCAGAGCAAGGCGGGTCCTGCTGCGGGCTGCCCCCAGCAGCACCCCTGGCCCTGCCCTGCCCAGCCCCCGGGAGGCCGCTCACTCCTGCCTCCCACGCCGCGCTCCCAAGGCCCTGCCCACCCCACAAGCCTGTCGCTTCCCCTCCAGACGCTTTTCTTGTCCTGCCTCCTGCATGAACACACAGCCTAGACCCTAGAGCTGATGACCCAGCTTCTAGGTCACCCCAAGACTACAAGGGACAGTCCTGAGATCCCAGAAACCGCAGGGGCTTTGGGGAATGGGAGGGGCAGTGCCTGTCCCAGCCTCAGGGCAGCAGGCTGGGGGCACATGGCTCTGGGCCTCGTCAGCTCCCTGAGGGGGGCACCCATTCTCTTCCCCAAGCTCCTGCTCCCCAAGCCTTGCCCTGCAGCAGAAATGTGGACAACGGGGTGACATGCCTGTCTGTGGGGGTGGGGGCCAGAGCTGAGATGGCCACCATGAAGTCTGGAAAGGTGGGCACACCAGGGCTGTTCCTCATCTCTCTGGGCCCTGTGACAGGTGGGATCCTGGGTCTAATGGTGACAGGGAAAGAGCAAGAGGCTGACCCACTGCCTGGCCATGAAACTGGGAAAGTCACCTCACCAGGCCAGGCCAGCATCCCCCTCTGGGACCCAGGGAGCTGAGACCTGCCATCTCTGACACCTACTTCGCTCCAACAACACACGAGGAAGGCAGCTCATGACAAATGGAACCAGGGTCCTACCCTTCCCCATCCCAGGAGAGACCCACTGTAGCCCAGTGGAGCCCACAATAGGGGCAGGGCTCGGGGAAGGCTGAGGGGGGTTCCTCTGAGTCTATAAAAGGAGGGTGTCAGGTTTGACAGATAGAAAGGGTCTGCCTGCTGGGGGGCGAGCGGGCCAGGAGAGCTCTGAGGGGACAAGGTGCCTCTGCAATGGGGAGGTGGGGGAGGCAGGATTCACTGGGGGGAAAAGTCAGAGCCGAACAAAACCAGACTGAGTCAAATAGAATCAAGTGGAAAATGGGATCCACTTCGGGAATTTTCCAAGCCTGATTCTCCTCTGCTCACTTGCAGAACAGCAGCCGCTGCAGCCAGCACCTGACAGACTGCGCGACCCCTCCCTCCCACCTCCTCTGCACAGCAGAGCTACTTAAAGAGCCTCGAAGACTGAAACCGAAACACACACAAACAAGACAGTCCTTCCTCCAAGCAGTCCTGCCTGTTCCCTGGCCTCATGCAGGGGAGAGAAGCGCAGGACTTTCCGTCTGGGACCCCGACTCCCCTGAACTTGCTGCTTTGCGTGGAGTGTGGCGCTCCGGCCCCAGCCCTGAGCCTGGGAAAGCTGCAGAGCTCGGGCTCTCCTACCCAGTCATCATCCCACAGGACGGTGGGGGGCGTGGGGCCTGGGGGGGCATGATGCCCACTGGCCACCTTGCAGCCCCCAGCTGAAGACCCAAGGCTGGGAGGGAGGATGTGGCCCCTATAGCTCAGGGCCACATGAGCTGCTTCCAGAAGAGCCCAGAGCTGCTCCTTGCAGTTGTCACCCTGGCTTGGAGACAGCACCTCCTTTATCTTTGAACAACCTCAAGTTTGTTTTCTGAGTCTAGGTTTAGTTTCTCATGGGAGTCTAAGTTTCTGCAAGGCTTTGGGATGAATGCACTTCAAGAGGGCCTTTAGGACTGGCCGGTTAGCTCAGCTGGTTGGAGCGTGGTGTTGTAACACTGAGGTCATGGGTTCGAATCCCAGTACCGGCCAGCCACCAAATAAATAAAGGGGATTTTAGGAATTTACTGTGGACCCAGAGGGGCCTTGAACGTTGACGCCCGCAGCCCGGCAACTCCTGGACCAACACATGAAATCTGCTGGTTGCTCCTACATCAGCCTGCAGGAGGCCAGGGGGCCTGCAAGGGGTGGGGCTGGATGACGGAGCTCTTGCCCTGACTTCAGTGTGCGTGTGTGTGTGTGTGTGTGTGTGTGTGCGTGCATGTGTGTGTGTGTCCGTGCGTGCGTGTGTGTGCTTGCGTGCATGCGTGTGTGTGCTTGTGTGCATGCTTGTGTGTGTAAAATGAGAAAGTTTTAGAAGTTCTCAAAATTCCTTCGGGCCTTTTTCCATTTATTTCATTGTCCTTATGAAAGAAAAATACCTTAAGTCTGGTTCAAGCAGCCGGCCAAGTTAGGACCCTGGGGGGCGGGCTGCCAGCCCCATCAGGTTCTGGACAATGAGGTGTCCTCAAAAGGCAGCTCTCCCTTTTCACCCCTTTTCCTTGCTCCCCTTTCCCCACCAGCTTCCTCTGGACGCAGAGGTCACCCATTACCGGGAGCCTATTGTGCACCTGGCACTGTGCCGGCTGCTCCCCATACAGGCTCAGTAGGTGGCATCATCTCCATTTTACATTTTACAGACATGGAAACAGGCTCAGTAACCGTGCTCGCCCCAGCTCCAACGAGAGGAGTGTGACCAGGACAGCCTTGGAAAGCTGGACACAAGCGAGGCCGCTCTGCTGCTCAGAGGGGGCCAGGGTGGTGCGGGGGCCAGCAGGGCCGCTGAGGCCTTGGAAGGGGAACTTGTCTCCTGGGGCCAGTCACAGAGGGGACAGGCAAGACTGGGCCACATCCCGCTGGAGTGGGAAGGAGGGCGGAGGGAGGTGGGCAGATGAGGATGGTCGTGGACTGGGAAGAAGAGGCCCAGCCCCAGGCTCAATCAGCCCAGACTCCATGGTGGGAAGAGCAGGCCTGGATGCAGAAGCCCTGGGCCCGGGCTCCTCCTGGCCAGATGGCAGGGGCCTTGGCTATCCACACGGATGCCCTGTTCTGTGCTCAGGGCCTCTCCCAGCTCTGCCAGCGGCTAGCTAGATGACCCTCTCGGGACTTCTGTTTGAGTCTCCTCTTCTAAAGTGCCCCCGCCCCCACTGGCTCTTGCACACAGCTGCCCCCTGGCTGCTGCAGTCCCCGCTCCTGCAGGCTCCCTGACTCCCACCGTCAGGCCTTGCCCCCTGTGTCAAGCAGTGTCCGGCCAATCCGGACAGCACAGACGTGTTCAGGGACCAGAAACCACAAAGCTGGCTCCTCACTGCCCTCGAGGCAGGACAAGAGAATCGGACAGAGAAGGGGGTGTAGGGGTCTGATGTCCCCAGTGCACAGTGAGGAGGGGGGGACAGGACACCCCCTTCCCCATGAAGGGAGCCTGAGGACACAGGTGACAGGCAGTCTCTGCAGGTGGCTCCCAGGGCTGTCTGCCCCACAGGTCACAGCTGACGAAGGCTCTCAAAGATCCCACCTCGGTGGCGTTCAAACTTCAGGCACCGCAGAATTACCGGCGAGCCATTTACAGTGCAGATTCCCCAGCCGCGCCACAGCCTGGCGGGACATTTTAAACACACCACAGAGCTCCTACCCCTTTCTCATGCCTGGAAAGCTTCACTTGGAGCTACACAGACTCAGGTGGAATGCCCGTATACAGATGAGGACACGGAAGACCAGAGAGGTAAAGTGACTGGTCTGCGGCCACACAGCCCACCAAGGGCAGAGTTAAGGCACAGGCCAGCTTGGGAATCCCAGCCTCCGGCGGGCTCCACTGGCCTGCATTCCTGTCTGTACGGTGAGGGGGGAACCTGGCTGCTGGAGCCCTGCACGCCCCTCGTCTCTGAGGGCCAGAGTGGAGGAGATGAGAAATTCCTGGCTGTGGAATTGATCCAGCTGGGCTCCCATCAGTCACAGGGACTCCACGACCAACACCCAGCCAGGGCCACCTGCACTCCAACCCCAGCTCCTCGCGGGTCACATGGCTCCTCCACTCCCAGACAAGGGGACTCTCTCACTCACCATAGTCCTTCTTGCAGTACTTTTTCATGTTAATCTTCAGCTTCCCTTTGGAGGCCTTGCAGTAGGAATCACAGTCTGCAGGGAGGGAGAGAGCACAGACAAAAACTAATTAGGCTGGCGATGAATAGGCCGGCGGGCCGAGCAGGAGGCCGCCTCCCTAAATACCCAGAGGCCTGTGATACCCATGGGCCAGGCCGAGCGGGCGGAGGTTCAGGGCAGGCCCCGCTTCTGAAGAGGCCCTGGGGACAAAGGGCCCCCGCGCGACCCCCTCCCCTCTGCTGCCCTGCCGAATCCTTTAGCGGCCGCCTTGGCCACCGTGAGAGACTCTGGGGGCTCCGTATTGTGCCACCCAGGGCTTCTGAGCACCACGCAAATTCCCCCTGTGCTTAAGATGCAACCGGAGCCTGATTAAAGCCAATAGAGGCCACATTGTCACCCCGTGCCCTGGGTCCGTGTCAGGCGCTGGCTTTCATGGCGCAGAGCCTCTGGCTGGGGTCAGGCCCCAACAAAAGAGGTCGCAGAGGAAATTAGCAGCCCATGAAGCATTAGAAAACCCCTTTGGTGTCCACTCTACTGGAGTGTGCAAATAAAATGCCCCACGAAGAAGAGTTCAGTTCTAATGGGCCCTACTGCTGCGAGGCAGGGCCGCCAGCCTCTGTCCGCGGGCTGGCGCTCCGAGGGCTTCCCGGGCCTGAGTGCGAGCCAGGCAGGATGTGCCAGGGAGCATCAGACCTGTTCTCCTGGGGGTGGCCAGTGTCAACCCCCAGATGCAGACCCCTCCCCCACCCCTGCCCAACCATGGCCTCCCCCGCCAGTGATCTCTGCTCTTTGGACAAGGTGATGCCATTCCTTTGCTAGGTCTGTGTGTGACAACCTCAGCATGCCGGCCCGGCCCATTGAAGAGGCCCAGTAAGTCTCCCCGAGTCTTCCCTGTCCCCATCCTTGACACGCTGGATCTCATTCAATTCTCACAGCCATTCTTTGATGTGTGGGTGTTATTCCCATTCTGCAGACAAGAAAACTGAGGCAGGCCCAAAGACGGTAAGCCACTTTGCCAACACATCACAAACAGCTAGTGCCAAGGCTGGCCTGGAACTCAGGCATGAGATGCCAAGATTGCTGCACTCTTGCCTGTGCCACACTGTGTCTCCATAAACATGGGCAGGTTCCCACTCAGTGTGAGCAGGGAGGTAAGCTCAGAGTAGGGGTGGGGGAGGAGAGCTTTGTCCTATGTTTTACCAACTCCCACTCTGCTGGGAAGAAGACCAGCGAGGCTGGCCTGGGGGCTGCAAAGGGCCCCGCCTGTACTGGGAGCAATGGTGCAATGGGCTGGAAGAAATGGGCTGGGTGTGTGTCCCAGTGAGGGACAGGCAGAGGCAGACTAGAAAGGGGAAAGTTAAACACGGGTGTGCACACACATGCATACACATATGCACACAGGTGACCACCCCTGTCGCAGGTGGCAGCACCCCCTCCTGCAGAGGGGAAAACCAAGGCCAAAGTGGTGGTAAGGAGCAATTTGTGTGGGAGCACAGGGTGAAGCCACGGCAGGAAGACAGGCCTCCCAATACCACCTGTCCCCCAGCCCATGGCTCTGATCTGCAGGGAACATTCAGAGACCTCCCAGAGCAAGTCTCCAATCTCACAGAGGCATCTGTTTCCTTTGAGGTCCTAGGATACACCTACTGGTGTCTCATTTAAAGTCAACACAGCTCCATATCATTGCCCTGGGAGCTGCAGGCCCAGCAGTTCCCCGTTGCCTCCTGGGCCAGCCTCTTAGGGCCCCCAGTTAGGAACGAGTCTCAGGAAATGGGAAAAGGCCAGTCTCCCTTTCTGCTCCCCTGTGATCCAAGCCCTTTGGAGTACCAGTCTCTCCTGCCAGCTGGACGGCTGGCCAGTTATTGGAGTAGGGACCTCTTGGGGTGCAGGGGCTGCATTGCACAGAGAGAGTGGCCTTTACTCTGCTGTGGCCAAGCCCGAGAGGCCAAGATGATAGGTGACAGCAACTCAAACACATACGTCAATGGCAGTATCACTGCCACTATCATTGCCGCCGCCGCACTTCCCTGTGGGGAACAGTCGCCCCAGCCCACGTCTCTGCCAGCTCAGGGACAGATGACGCTTGCAGCAAAGCCACTGCCATCTGAACCCAGGTTGTGCGTAAGCCCTGGCAGTGAGAGCAAGCCCGCTGGAATCCCTCCCGCTCTCTCCACTTAAGGAAGCGGACTGGAACGCAAGTGGTGCCGGGTGACGTTATTGCAAGGACAACCCTGAATCCACTCTCCCTGCCTTCTTGTGCTTTTTTACCAAAGTCGTTGGCCCACGTCAGTCCTTTCATTTCTGATCAGAAGGAAATCCCTTTACATCCTGCGCCTGCTGCACCCCTCTGTCTCAGCCCTGGGTCATGAGTGCGCCTTTGAGTGTGGCAGCTCTTCTGAGCCTCGTGGGAGGTTCTGAGGGAGGGACTGCTGTGCCCAAGGTAAGCCCCACCCCACAGGACAGAAAGGAGGCAGCCAAGTCCTGGGACGACCCACCCCTATACCTTCAGCATCACTGTCCCAGCCTGGAAACTAACATCTCCAGCTCTCCTCTTCAGAGCCAAGTATCCACCTGGGACATAAGTCATCTGAGAATGTGTGGCATCCATCACCGCCTAATTAGACTGAGCTTCCAGACCCTGCTTGACAAATCAGTCATCCATCACCAGGAATCTCGAGAGTCTGCACTCTGTGATGGTGGCAACTCATGTGCCACTGTGCTGGTGCTTTCTGAGCTCCTCACAACCCTTCCAACTGGGCCCCACTTCATAGATGAGAATCTAAGGCATAGAGACAGTGACTCACCCACCTGAGGTCACCTGTTTCATGAGTTAGTCTGGCTGCAGAATCCCTGCTCCCAGCCCTCTGGTTCCCAATCCCAGCTATATAGTGGAATCACCCAGAAGCCTTAAAAGACACAGATGTCTGGGTCCCACCCTCCAAGAGATCCTAGTTTCCTTGGTTTAGGGAGCAGCCTGGGTTTAGAGAGTGTCTGGACTGTTAATGCTCCCCAGGTGATTCTAATGTGCAGCCAGGGTTAGAAGCACTGTCTGAACCAGCGGTGAGCAGTGAGAGATGGGGAAGGTCTCACACCCATGACCTGCACGGAACACCTGGCTCGGCAGAGGAAAGGCCCAAGCAGATACGTGTTGACTCAAACTGGAGAGCGCTCACATAGGAAGCTCAAGCCCTTACAGAAAATGTCAGCCTCAGAGTGTTTGTAGCTGTATTTGGTTTTTGCTTTTTTTTTTTTTTTTTTAATTGGGTCCAATGTCTTTCCTTTCTGTCAGCTGGAAATTCTGGTCAGGTCAGGGTGCTTGATGCAAAATGTCCCCTACTCCCTCCAGATTTGCTGATTCTAGTTAAGCTGTGAGCTAGGAAAACAGAAAGACCAAGCTGGTTAGAATTGTGTGTAACATACAGGTAAACAGGCTCGGAAGGAGAGGCTAAAGTGTTCTCCTCTGGGTAAAGTGAATAACCTTTGGAACATGGACACTATGACAGCTATTTGGCAGCTTCCTTGGGTTGTATTCCAGATAGCTGAGGTCATTGGACAAGTGGCCCCTGGATAAGAAAAATGTTCCTGTATGTTCTTCCTTTATCAAACACACAAAAAGCTACAAGACCGCTTCAAGATGGACAAACCACAGCTTTAAAATGCAGCTTTGACTCCTTCAAAATGGCATCTACTTGGCAGCCACTCATGGAGCCTCTGCTTGGATTGTTCCAAAATAGCTATAAAGACAGTGAAAAAAATGAAAATTCACACGAATGCCAAGAACGAAACTGATAGATGACCCAATGCTGGAATCTGGGAGCGATCTCTATTAATTAAAGGCAGATGGTGTTGGAATTAGCAAAACCTGCCCAGGTTTTACCTCCAGACACAGCTCTTTGTCTGAACAGAAAGATCCTTAAAAAGGGAGGATGTCAGAGAGGCAATGATCAGAAAACGAAGGGCAGGAAGTAGGCGGGGCACGGGGGCGATCCCACCTCCAGGGAGGGGAAATTGAAGGAAGGGTAGGGCCGACAGGCAGCGATTGCAGTGGATGCCTGAACATCACTAACGCAGAGAACCAGAGAACGAGGCAGTGGAGATAAGAGAAGGCATCAGCGCCACAGAGCAGAAGTAAATCCGGGCAAACGTTGGTAGCAACTAGGAAGTAGGAACCGAAGATGGAGCCGTGCTCAGTTCCTTGCCGTCCACCTGGGATCTGAGCTGGGAACCAGCGCATAGAGGGATCTGTAAATGGTTTTTTCTACAAAGGGCCAAATATTAAATATTTTAGGCTTTGAAGGCCATACAATGTCTGTCCCAACTGTTCAACTCTGTAGCTGGAGCCTGAAAACCACCACAGACCATATGTAACTAAATGGGCATGGCAGACTGGGAAAAAAAAAAAACCAAACTCTAAAAAGACACAACCTCTATAAAATAGAGAAGAAAGCCATCAGGAGAGGCGAGGCTGAGCTGAAAAAGCCATATGATGACACAGAAAGGGTGATGTGTAAGAGAAAGAAGAGTTGGAAAAACTACAGCTAAAATCTAAAAACCCAGTAGCACAATTAAAATCCACTTTGGGGAAAGGGGGCCAGGAAAGGTTGGTAGACTGGTGCAAAGTTATGGTTAGATAGGAAGAATAACCTCTGGTGGCCTAGGGTGACAATAGCTAATAATATCGTATTGTGTATTTCAAGATAGCCAGAAAAGAGGATGTTGAATGTTATAACAACAAAGAAATGATAAATGTTTAGTGATAGATATGCTGACTATTCTAACTAGATCATTATACAATATATGCATGTATTGAAACAACAAACTGTATCCCATAAACACGTACAATGAACATAAAATTAAATTAAAAAAACCCCACTTTGGAAGCAGCAAAGAGAAATAACACTGTAAAAAACTGATTCAGAAATATGGAGAATAAATTGGAGACGCTATCACAAAATTTAGAGAAAAAGGATAAAGACATGGAGACCATGCAAAAGAAAAGACAAGGATATAAGACAGAAAGTGGAGAGGTGATGATA